TTGTCTGTCATTTTAGTCAAGGCAGTATGACAAGAGTATTTAGGCCTGAACCCTGACTGACTATGGATGATTAGATTGTTGTTATTTAAATGTTGAAATGTTATTTTATGTATGTGTTTCTCTAATGGTTTTGATAGTGATGATAGTAAAGAAATTGGTCTATAATTACCCACAGAAGCTTTATCAGTTGAGCCAGGTTTATATAGAGGATACACTTTTGCAACTTTAAATGCAGAAGGAAAGTAGTTTTTGGCAATACACTGATTATATATGAAAGTTAAGGATTCGCTTATCACTGGTGCAGCACATCTAAGAATTCGATTGCTGACACCATCCAAGCCAGATGAGTTTGTCTGCTTGAGGTTGGTGAGATATTTATATACTTCAGCAACAGACATGAGAGGAATTTCAGATGGACTAGCATTAATGCATTTGTCATCACTAAATGATGCCAGCAGGCTTAAGTCACTCTGTGCATCTGGTATGGCGGATTTTAAATTTTCTATTTCCGATTTAAAAAAATTACTGAAATCATTACATGTAAGAGAATCTGGTTTTACAGGATCTGAATGATGTTTCTTGTTGGTCAGCATGTTAATCGCCTTCCATATGTCTGTACTGTTTGATTTGTCTATAATCAACTTGCTAAAATGTTCTTTCTTGATCCTACGGATCATGTATTGTACTTTATTTCTTAGCCTACGATACTCGATGACATTTTTATTTTTATGTGCCATGTCTCGATCTCTCATAACTTCCAGAACTTCACTAGTGATCCATGGAGACTTAATTTGACTTTTAACTCTAACTTCTTTAACCGGCACATGCTTATCAAACACATTGTAGACTGTTTTTATCCAATATGCTATAGCATCGTCCGGTTCAGAAAGCTGATAAACATGCTCCAGCTGTGCGTTTCGCAAATCGTTTAAAAATATTTGTGAATTAAAGGTTTTAAAATTTCTAAATTTAATTGTGAGGTGCTTATCTTTAGGAGACCTAAAGCCAAACTTTGACCATGTGCAGCACACCGGATAATGGTCGCTGACAGCTAAAACAGGAACTGTGCATTCAATAATATTTCCCGGACAGGAGACATAAATATGATCAATGGTGGTTGAAGATGTTTTTGTAACTCTCGTGGGGAAGTTAATTAGCTGTTTAAGGTTATACGATATAATTATATCCCCCCACGCTTGGTTAGGTTTATTGCTATCAATGTTAAAGTCTCCTAGCAGTATAATTTATTTTCCTAAACTAAAAACTACATCCATCATAGAAGTGAAGTCATCATACCAATCAATACCTGCACAAGGATTTCGATACAAGTACCCAATGAAAATTGACTGCTGATTTGACGGCTTGACTTCTAACCAGACACACTCTACAGCTATAGATTCAAGATCACATCTATGGGAATATTTGATACAGTTTGAAATGTACACTGCTATGCCTGTCTCTAATTTTCTTACTGCATCTTTGCGAATTAAATTAAATCCCCTGATAGTGGTTTCTTTATCATTAATTTTGTTGTTTAGACGACTTTCAGTGACTCCAAAGATATGAAACTGATTGTTAAGTCTAACCGACAGCTCAGGCAGTTTGCCGAGTAAATGGTAAATATTAAGATGCCCTATTCGCAGGCCATCCTTGCTAAGCCACTGATTTTGATTACTGAACATTACATTTT